GCAGCGGCAGTGCCCCTCAGATCTTTGCAACTTAAAGCTCTGAGTGGCACTGTAGCTGTTATGGACAGGGGAGTAGCTTCCCATCAGGCGCACGACTTGTTCGTCCCGTCACTTGATGTAATAAAAAAAAATTCCTTCCATGCGACTAGATTCGAACTAGCGTACCAGTCGACTCAACGTGGTTGACCTAAAGACCTATGATTCTAAGTTTTTTATTGAGAATGATAAAGTTAAAACTAATAAAACCCCAATTTAAGAATTGTAATTAGAAAATTAGTATTTAGCTATAATTACATATTACAATTCAGTTCCCTTGCTAAATTGTCCAGTCGACAGAACATCCTGCTGGTGCTAATTCCCAAATGAAAATATGTCGAAGCAGTATGATACCGCAGCGTGGAAACCATGCTAGTGGCAAATAATTACCGCCTAGAAAAGATGAGATGCGCCTGTTCATTATTTAAGATGGTACACGTGAGCTTTGAAACAATATGCACGTTTTGTCTCGTTGCCGTTGTTCGTTTCAACATTTAAAATCATGAACGAATTCTTTCGTTTATTTTTTATATAGGTGATAATTATTAAAGTTATTATTGTGATTGAAATTTATTATAAATTGTTCTATAACACAGCATTTGCACCCAAAGTAGAGCGTGTATTTCCTGATATCCTTTTAGAAAAGTAACCTGGCCTATATGTCGAAAAAGTTTCACCTAGTAATAGCAAAGTGGTGTATAGATATATAGAGAAGGTAATATCAACTACATGTCAATAATTAATTATATTACTATGTTAGTTTTCAACAAAATTAACTGAATAAACAGTAAACTGTTGTCAGTTGTCCTGTTTTTAAGTAGTTTTGCATAAAACATGACAATGATAAAGCATGGTAATTGTGTAACCTGTTACGGTTCCGTCAACTTTTTACCAGCACTGATTATCGTAACTTGTAACTTTGTTTTACAGTTTTTTACACACCAACAAAATGCAACAGCAGGATAACATCAGCAAGGTAGCTAGTTGTTCAATAATAAGTTATACAACGCATAAGAATTCGTGTTTATTATAGTAAATATTAACGTAATAATGACCACCTCTCATGGTGTACCTGTATAAGAAAGTTGAGTTTGTTGTTTTTGACCGCCGCATTTTCACATTCATGCGTGCCGAATGGCAAGGTTTTTTTATGATAGCAAGTGACGGGACGAACAAATCGTGCGTTTGATGGTAAGTGACACGCCTGTCCATAGCAGTTGCAGTGCCAGTCAGAGCCTTATATCACAAAACTTTGAGGCGCACTACCACTGCGCTCGTGACATTAAGACATAAGTTGACAAGTTCCATGTGCCTGAAATTTCCCAAGAACATTTACTATTCAAAACCGAAATACATTAATGCTTACATTACGGTCTTGGCGGCAGGAATAGCTAAGGTGGCAATACTTAAACACGAACACACGAATGTGAACAGTGCGTTCGCTATTCGCCTCGCGACACGAGTGGCGAACGGACGTGTTCAAACGGAACACCGTATGATAGATAGATAGTTCGAGTCATCACTCACACACAAATGTTTTGACGAGTAGCGAACACGATTGTGTAATCCGGTATAAGATATGACCGCTGGCATTGATTTTGAGTGAAACGTCTACATGTACAACATAATCTCAGTATACAGAGTACTAAAAAAACCGACCTCATAAGTGCGTGGAATTACATCTATTTGCCAAGTTTTATTGAAGTCGGTTACCAGAAAGTGCGCAAAACCGGATTCATCCCCTAGTTTGCCACCCTAAGGGAGATGCCATACGGGCGTTGCGTCATCGCAACAGCGTTGATTTCAACAGACTGAGTGCCGCACGAGCTGTACCGTCGACGCACGCTGTTTCAACGCACGGTGTGACATGTCGTTCTGATTTATAAGTAGTATAACGCAGTTGCGACGACGCAATGCGGCTGCAACGCCCGTGTGGCATCTCCCTGATAGGCGGAAAATATTCTTTAAATTTAAATGGGACCACTACTGAGGTACCCACTTTCTAACAAAAAAAGAATCATCAAAATCGGTTCACAAATGCCGTTATAGCGTATCGTACACGCAAAAAAGTTGAATTGAGGACCTCCGCCTTTTTTTTGAAATCAGTTAAAAATTTCGTAGCGATTGTTAGAAGGATCATTTGTGGCACACTTTAGATTATTTATGATTTTAAGACACACAAAAGTCACATCCTCTGACGCTCTGCCACGCTCGACATACTGGTATAATTTTATTTTATATTCAAACATACGTTTTAAAATGTGATTTATTCAAGATACAATTTGCTATATTTAGGGAACACGGGTTGCAACAAGTGGTAATATATAAATTAAGCACCATCAAGACGCTGTTTCATTTCCGCCCATTTTCCCCCACACCAGTTACCTATTTAGTAACTTTGATGAAGGTCGACAGATATTCGGTCAGTACTCTCGTTACAAACAAATGAAAATTTACGTTGTGGCGGAACTCCAACCACTCGATGCTCAGGGTGTATTTGGCGTTTAGCCTGATGTACTCCACTATCACCTCAGACTTCGTGGACTAATGTAGTCGGAACAGGTGCATACAGCGTCGTCGGTATGGCCGGACGCAGCAAAAAGTTAGATCCTGTCGGTGCTGTGCCACACAGGTGGTGGGCTTCCTCTTCCTCTGCACCACTTTTGTAAAGCCGTCCTCGTCACACTGATCCGTCTGCCTCTGTAGTTTTGAGCATATAGTTTTCGGGCTTTTTACAAAAATACTACTGTTCTGTGTTGTATACTGTGATAGAAGAAAAAGTGCTTTTTGTCCTACTATATTCGTCGAAATGCAGATAAAACTACGATTATAATTTCATTATTCCGGATATGATCCGGACATCCGGAAATGTCCTCGTAAAACCACCGACTATGATAATAAAGATTTTGTACGTTTTATGAGGAACCTAGGCAGTCTCAGAATCGTAATTAAGTTTGTTTTTCTACTTTTCAATAGCATTACTATCCGAACTTAAGAGTTAAAACCCGCGGCGGCGGGTGCGGGCTCGCGGGTCTTGGCTTCTTAACTTTCACAAAGCTGACGCGGCTACGAGCGGATAGATCCACACGTCGAAATCGCAAACAAACGCTAGACGCTAGGCCAAGCACTGTGAAAGGTACGGATGGGCCGAGCCAATATCACGCCACTGTGAATGCATCGAGTCTACGTACATTTGATTTACAAGCACCCGCGCCAACACACGCGCGAATTAAGTGACTGAGACGAACTTTGTTATAAAAAAATACTTTATTTCTTATGCCAACCTAACTACATAGAATTCAAAATCACAATCAACCTTTTCTAACTTAAAATATGTAATATATAGAAGTTACAAAGCGTTGTCAGCTATGTGTTGCCATGTCACTTGTCCTACTTAAATGGGTGCTGTCGCGGCGGCTCCTCTGCAAGTTTTGCGTAAATTAAATTTCATACTTAGTCCTGTAATAACAATAACTATAAAAATTATTTAGATACTTATAGTCCATACACTGATTTGATCACTAATAATGTAGTTCATTACTATCTCGTCGTCACTGACACTGAACCTTGCACTGTTTGACAGTGTTCGGATGTCACTGAAGTCTACTCCTCGCAGGTCAATCGTCATTTTTTTCCTTGATTGTTGTGTAATGGTAGCTCAGGCATCTGCAGCACGGGTGTTTGGAAGCTTTGTATAGAAGAATTTGTTACTCCGTTAATATAAATATTACCAAATTGTGTCTCGCAACCTTGTGATGGTGTAATTATGTAAGAGCCTTGAAGATTTTGTTTGTGGACTTCTTTCTTGCAATTTTCCGTTACTATAATATTGTTACGTGCATATAGTAACCATTGATCGTCTGTTAGCTGCTGGATCCTGAAGTCTTCTATTTGGATGAGTCTCTGATGGCATTGTGTATAGTTATTCTTTATTAGCATTAATTGTTCTATACATGTGTCCTCTGAGTAATGTGCAAGTTTATTTAGGAACCGTCTGTTTTCTATCTCGTCGCATGCTTTCGCTAACGGTCTGTAATTCAATCTATTCACCGTAAGGAAAGGAAATTCAGGTATAATGGTGTGGGTTTTTTGAGAGGTTGGGTTATATATGGGAACAGGGACTATCTTATAATAAATATATGTGTTTTTCATCCAGAAGTAGAACTTCTAATACAAATATTAACTTACTATATTATGTATATATGATTTTAACGCCATATTATGTTCTAACTTAACTAGATTTTGTTTATTTACTGAATAAACTAACTTAGCATGTTTCTTTATTTTCAGTAAAATATTAAATAATTCTGTGGAATTAATAAAAGATTGGTGTAGCGTATATAGCTTACTAAATGCTATGGCAGTTTCGATTTCCTGGATTATGTTATAAACGGTTCTTAAGTTATTTAATATTTGATTTAAACTGTTCATAATGGTAATGAGATTATGAATTTGAGTCTCGTTATTTTGAAGTGATTCTAATTGCTTTGTGTCCCCATTGAATACCGGGATTATTTTTAACATCTCCATAGGGACACGTGTAATGCCTTCCATTTTAGTTTAAGTTACTTGTGTATAAAAGGAAAACTAAAAATAGAGATTGTTATCTAAAATAAGTAGAGTAGTAAACGAAATCTATCAAGATACGCTATTACTAAGACTTTGTCTAATCCCTAATAATGCACATATATTTATAATAAGAGGTACATATAGGAAAACAGGGTACAGTGAAAAGATTTACTCACAGAACCGCAGCTACTCCCATGTCTCCTCTCTGGTGAATTGTTTTTGACTCTCCTTAGTCAGTGGCTCTCGATCGCAGGTACTCTGGATCTCCGTTGTCTCGTTCGCTTAATATATTTATTTGTTCGGTGATTCCCGTCCAAGCGTTGAAACGCACGATGCTCGATGTACAGAAGGATCTACGGGAATCCTACCGGCTGTGCCAATTAAGTGACTTAGACGAACTTTGTCATAAAAAAATACTTTATTTCGTATGCCAACCTAACTACATGGAATTCGAAATTACAATCAACCTTTTCTAACTTAAAATATATAATATATAGAAGTTACAAAGCGTTGTCAGCTATGTGTAGCCATGCCGCTTGGTATACTTAAATGGGTGCTGTCGCGGCGGCTTGGCAGGGCTGACGAAGCTGGTAAATGGGCGTTTCTTATACTTAACACGCGCGCCGCCACTCTGAATAAGGCCTTAGGCTTTTTTGTGATTGCTACATATTAAAAAAAGAAACTATTTTTCGGGTCTAAATTTCGTACATTTCATGTTTTCAAACAAACCCGTTGTTGTATAAACAAAAAGACCAAATATATGCGATTTAAGTAGGTAACATTAATAATTTTGTTTAAAGTGTTAATTACGTTTACCCATCTGCAATATAACGGAAAGGAAGGACACGAAGAAGGAAGGTATCCCGGCAGAAAAAGTGAAACAATTTTCGATTTCGTAAATTTTGGACTCGACTGATAACTTAATGTTACTAAGCATATATTTCTTAAATGTAGCCTTAACTTGTAACTTAATCTTACGCATATACAATAGCAACTTATTCATTCCTTAAATAGAAAGAAATTATTGTATAATCATAAATTTTACATTGTATGTGAAAATAATTGATACCAACTTTCTGTCCATTAATTTGTAACACAATTAATATTATAATATGACGACTCTTTGTTTAGTTGTCTGCCCAAGGCGCAGTCGCATTTTTCTCTGTGTCGTATTCAAATTGTTGATATGTAACTCCACTAACTGTCTTACCAAATTTGTCGTATCTACATTAGTATGCACGATTAATTCAAAGATTTTCAATTGTTCCAACGCTTTCCATTCATCTCTATGTTTTACTGCAACGTTGAAAAGCTCATTCAGTACGTCTCTAGATTTTTTCACCATACTCAATATGAACCCGATTCTGTAAGGTGCTCTGTCTCGGTACTTATCTTTGATAGATTGCGTAGCGCGAATTTTAGTGTTCGTATCGTGCATGGTTTGCTGTACTAGGGTTAGGATTTTAGTTTTTAAACCTGAGTCCTTGTCCTCAGATATTGGGTTCCGGGTCAGTTCAGTAGTTTGTAATGGTGTTTCCGAAACAAGCCAATGTCTACGTCGATCTGGCAATTCCCTTGCATATACTTGTGTTTCACTGTACTTTCCGTTCATTCGTCTTCTGAGCGGTGGGAGCGGATAGCGTGTCGTCATCTCTTCGGAATTCGATTCACTATTGCTATCATCACTCACTAAATCGTTAAATATTTCAATGTCACTTTTGTCTAGCGTGGTTTGATGCACGTCACCTTTATAGCCTAGCATATTGATGACTATGGTGCCGTTTGTGAGTGGCTTGTCTAGTTCTGAAATTCTTTGTTCCTCGTCTGTGAGCGACGAGTCTTCCGATTTAGAGTTGCTAATGGAGCGTCTGTTGGGAGGAGCGGGCGGTTGCGCGGGTGCATCGCCATCGAATCCGGGCAGGTCTATGAAATGAGCTCCGGAGCATAACATGGCGAAGAAGTGAATGGCCCCTAGAAATAAAATACAAGTTCAATTAGATGTAAGTGTTTTATCGCAACAATTTATTTACTAAATAACAAATATCATGAAAATAGCATAAGGTGTGTAAAAGTAAGATATAACAATTTATGATATTTTAAGGCATTAATATAGTTTTTTTTATTATTTGTACATATAACAACGGAAATATGGTCGTAAGTTGTGTATAGATATACTGTTGAATTTTATGTACATTAATTCTTTCCGCAAAAACAAAAGCATCTAAGCAATTAAAATATAAAAATAAATTAAAATGTAAGTACTTACAAATCGCATTTAGAATAAGAAACAGCATATTTTCAATACAGCGATTAGAAATGCATGCCTGGGTAAAATGGGCGCGGTAAACACTGCCTTGAAAATGTAATCACACGTAATTAATTAAAACATGTAATGAAATGTTTCAAGTACAACATAAAAGTGCCCATTAAACGTAATGACCGAGATGAAACTACAGGATATTTTTGTACAATAAAATAATACTCTTAAACCTAATACAGGTTGTAACAAAAGTGATAGGTATATGGAACTTCGTTATATGAAAGCGGCAACTTAAGTCAAAAATACAAAATTTATTATGAATAAAAAAAAAGTATTATAATCAAAGTCAAAGAATAATTTATTCCATATGTAAAATAAATTTACACGTGAAAACGTCACTTTTAAGCTACTGCTCGTTCACTACACTGACTTCTCAGAGAACAATGAGCATGAAACTCTAGGGATTACTTTTTTCAAATAAATTTAAATGCTATGAAATACACTTTGAATTTAATGTGTGTGGAATCCACAGCCATGTCGTCTTTCCATGCATCTTTATCTAACACGTAGTCTTCAATTTTGTAATATGATTTCCAATTACAATATTTTTAATGTAGTTTTTAAACTTAAGAAGTGATAATCTTAATATAATGCTCCGGAATCTTATTATAAAAACGAATACAGTTCCCCATGGTAGTCGTTTACCTTGATTAAACGAAATTGTAGTACCGTGTGTTTGGACTTGGCTCTAAGGTTAATATTGTGGATATCTTCTTTCTTATTGGAATTATGTATATTTTTGCAGGGATATAAAATATTTAAGTAAATGTATTAATGCCACAGTCATGATACCGATCTCCTTAAACTTTTTCTCTGAGAAAAATTCCAGGACCTAAATGGTACATAGAACGAATAGCTCGTTTTTGCAATAAAAATCTGGTTTGTATGTCTGCCGCTTTACCCCGCATGAGAATCCCGTAGAACATTATACTATGGAAAGAACTACTTGTTCGTCCCATCATTTAGCATCATAAAAAAAAATATTCTTATTATAGTCAAGTGAAAACTACGTTTTTTCAGACACGCAATTTGTAGCATTCTAAGAAAAAACTCGCATTGCATAATGTGTTACAATAGTACTTAATAAATGACGATAATTAAACCGGATGTTTCACCTTAGGTTTAAACACGTGAAAGTGAAACTGTACTCACAATTTTCTTTCTATTGAAAATGAGGTGCGTCACAAAAAAAATTAGACTAGGTTTTCAAATTTAGGAAACATTTCTGATATTCCGTGTTATGTATATACACGTGCCAGTGCTAGTCCATGTTGCACCCGGGTATTCTCTGGCGCCCTCTAGGAGGTACGTGATCAAAATGGAATATTTACTTATATTTTCCACAGTGATCTGAAATTCGAGTGCCAATGGTGCAAATATAAATGATGTTGGGAAGCAACAGCCCAAAGTTTCCCATAGTGGTCCCCACTGAGAAGTCCTTGGGGATAGGGGCCTCGGAAGCAATTGGGGGCGTTGATGCTTTCTAGGGATTGCTACGAAATTTGAAAAAAAAAACCGTAATTATAATATACAATACAAATATATAATCCTAGTGATTTTTTATGTTAAGTTAATATAAAAATTACTTGTTTTGAATTCTTTTTTCTGGTGGTGGGCGTAAATTTTTTTTATCTTGCCTAAGTGGGCGTGAACCAAAAAGTTTGAAAACGTATACAATATAGCCCTTTACTTAGCTTACGCCACAGACCATTAGAGCTTACGCCGCGAACGACACAGGCTCTTTGGCGGAGTCGCGAGTGACGCTCGGTGTTCCCTTAGGAAGATGCCACACGGGCGTTGCGTCGTCGCAACTGTGTTGTACTACATATAAGGGAGATGCCACACGGCCGTTGCGTCGTCGCAACTGCGTCATACTACATATAAATCAGAACGTCATGTCACACGGTGCGTTGAAACAGCGCGCGTTGACTGAACAGCTCGTGTGGCACTCAGTCCGTTGAAATCGACGCAGTTGCGACGACGCAACGCCCGTGTGGCATCTTCTTAAAAAAGAATTCTTAAATCAAAAAGTCTACTAAATATAAAAGAAGGTTATATTGGACGAGTTTAAAAACGAAAGACACACAATTGTTTAATACATATAAAAAAATATTAAAAAAAGCTATATATACATCTAAAAAAAATGAGAATAATAAATATATAAAAAATGCAAGCAATACTTCAAAGGCTTCGTGGCAAATAATCAATAAACAAAAATATCGCAAGCCAAGAGAGCATATTTTAAAAATTTTATCTAATAATAATTATTTATGTAAACCTAGTGATATAGCAAACTTATTTAATGATACATTTGTTGATTTGACAAAAAAATATCCTAACAATTGCAATGGGTATAATTATAAAATACGGGGTTTTAGTAATTCAGTATATTTAACGCCCACCACTCCTCAATGCATTACTAAAATAATTAAAAATATGAAAAATACAAATAGTGTAGGATACGATGGCATCTCTACTAAAGTTATAAAGTACTGTTCAGAAGAACTAGCGAGTCCCTTGAGCTATATTTTTAATTTGTGCCTATGTCAAGGGATTTTTCCTGAAAAGTTAAAAATTACAATAATAAAGCCGATATTTAAAAAAGGGAATAAGGAAATGTGTGAAAATTACCGTCCCATCGCCTTGATACCAGTCATTGCAAAAATTTTGGAACGAATCATATACAATATTATTTATGGATTCCTAGAAAAATATAATATATTAAAACAAGAACAATATGGTTTCCGAAAAAATAAGTCAACTTCTCAGGCAATAATTGACCTCTTAACAACAATTTCAGAAAGTATAAATAATAAGGATGCAATATCAACAATCTTCATGGACATGACGAAAGCTTTTGACTTTGTGTCACACAAATTACTCTTAGGTAAATTATACGAATACGGTGTGAGAGGACCTGCTTACAATCTAATAGAATCGTATCTGCAAAATCGCCAACAGGAAACTCACATTACGTACATGGAAAACCTTACAGAAAAAGTAGCCAAATCAAATACTAGAATTGTAGAGCGCGGTGTTCCGCAGGGAAGTATTTTAGGGCCGCTCCTATTTATACTCTACATTAACGACTTGCCTGAACATGTAAAGCAAAAGATTATACTTTTCGCTGATGATTCATCTGTGATAGTTAGGTGTACTAATCTTAAGGAATACGAGTCTATTTTGAACGAAGCACTGGGTGATATAATTAAATGGCTAGAAGTAAATAACCTAGTAGTTAACATAGGAAAAACAAAATTTATGCAGTTCTTTCTGCCACAATCACGACCTAAAAACTTAACGATCAATTATAACGGACAAAAAATTATGCAAGTTAATGAGAGTAAATTCTTAGGCATTACTCTTGATCGTCACTTGAACTGGAAGACACACATCTCAAATCTAACGACTAAACTGAGTAAATACGTATACGTACTAAAAAACTTAACTAAAATTACTTCTCGAAACACGGCGCTATGTGCTTACCATGCATATGTGGCCTCTAGTCTGCGATATGGTATATTGCTATGGGGTAACGCTGCTCTGACACATATTTTGCCACTATTTAAAACTCAAAAGAAATGTGTCAGGGCAATGTTCGGAATAGGTCAACGAGTAAGTTGCGTACCTTATTTTAGGGAACTTAAGATCCTGACTCTACCTTCGCTATTCATCTATGAAGCATGTATTTTTGTTAAACAAAATCCAGACAAATTCTCTTCGGTACAAACCAGTTATCCTAGGAAAGCACGAAATAACCTTGTAATACGGCCCAAACAACTACCAAACTTGCAATTCTACAATAACACAGTATTTGTTTTGGGACCCAAATTATTTAATAAATTACCAGAGACCATAAAGACACTAAATTACAGTCTATTCAAAATTAAGTTGTTTAATTTATTGGTTACTCAATGTTACTATAATATTAATGATTATTTGACTGATTATATAAAATCAGACTGAGCAAAATGTGCAAGAATTAATTTGACTGACGATGTATAAATTTAACTATAATTGCTTTTTATTATTATTTTATATTAGAATGTTGATTTGACTTATTCCTTATATAATTTTTATTTCATCAATTAATCAATTATTTGAACTTTTAATTATTTTTATGACAAATGTATAAACTTTGTACGCCGCTAGGCGAATAAACTTTGTATGCCGCTGGGCGGATCACAGTGACACTAACTAAATATGTAATGAACATTTATAACCTGTGTATCACAAAGGATTAAATGAATTAAATGAATTATTATTATTATTATGAATGTCGATGAGCGCTGTTTCAACGCACCATGTGGCATGTCGTTCTGATTTATATGTAGTACTATAGGACTTAGCGTAGCTCAGGTAGCTTTGCGAGAGATACTTTTATAAGAGAAACGACAATTATTTCATAAATATAACTGTAAACGTGTATTCACTTTGGAATCTTAGTCTAGAATTGCCAAGATCCTCTTTTTTCTATCTTATTTTTTTAAATACATTCCAAACACAGATCTATATTCATTCAGCCAGTATTTCTACTCATAGAGTAGAGCGTAGACTACAGTACAACGCAGTTGCGACGACGCAACGCCCGTGTAGCATCTCCCTAAGACCTTTCACCTTAGAGAAAGCCGGCAGTGTATAAATACATCGAAAACTTATAAAGCTCGATGAAATAGTGCCGATTGTCACGTTCCCCAAAGACTATGTGACGATGCGACCTCCTTCCATCGACAGCCAGCCTTTTTATCACCTTTTCTCTAATCATTCGTTCGTCGTTGTTCTTTAATTCCGTTGCCTATCATACTCACTTTGTTTTTTGTTCACTGTCACTCTCTGCTTAATCGCTGAAACGAGCAGTGCTGCTCGTCTAATTTTGACCCGTTTACTAGTTTCCAAAAATCTCTTGTGCGATAAACATTTAAAAGATCACAAAAAAACGTTAAGGCTCAACTCACACTGGCGCAGAGTCGAAGCGTTGCGACGCGTCATGTTTTTCGCCTATAGCATATGCATCGCTATTTTCCGATTATTAAGGTTACAAATTTATGTTATGCAAATATGGAATCGAGAGTCGACGCCAGGCGGCGTAGTTGAAAAACTGGACGCGACGCGACGCTTCGACTCTGCGTCAGTGTGAGTTGGGCCTAAAATATTTTATAAAAAACCGGATTTATTTCCACTATTTTCTTTTTCCTTTAGAATTTTGAACTTTGAACTTGCTAAGCAAGATGTGTCGAGGCTGCGAAAGCGTACAACCTACAGGACATGCTTAAGCAGTGCCAGCAGTGTGTGTGACAACCCCTCTTCAACTATAACAAACTTGAAAACTGTCTTGAAATTGTACGGCAGCCGTTGTTGTTTCAGGTCCGCATGTTATGGCTTTCTACTCGTATTAGGCATCCTGCCATATAGATCCGAACGTAGCACATCGACGAAGTACAACGGTTTGCAAAATTTTATTGAAATCGATTACCGGAAAGTGCACAAAACCGGATTCATTCCCTAGTTCGCCACTATACCTGACTTAACACAGGAGTTAATAAAAATTGGTGCTCGATGCTTAAAAGTATATCGTGAGAAACACGCCTTCAATTGCAACGTAGCAAAATCAACCATTAAAATAATTGCTCGTTATAAAATTTAGACGCTACTCATAAAAATAAGTCTTCATACGTGAACAATCACCCTCAGAGGTGGAATATTTTCTTCAGAGGTGGAATATTAAATAGGTTTATCACAGAGGTACTCTCTTTCCAACATTAAAATAATCACCAAAATCGGTCCACAAATGCCGCCGGAGTTATCGCGTAACACAGTTACAACAAAAACATACAGTCGAATTGAGAACTTCCTCCTTTTTTTGAAGACAGTTAATAATAGAATTGTATTATTTGCATATATTTAGAATCTTTTTTCACAGGTAATTTTTTTTAAATGCTAGATGCATCTGTCAACTCAAAGAGGATAGAAATAGAAATCTTCAAGTGTCACGCTAATGTTTGCTCGATCTTTGGCGAGTGAAATTAAAATTCGTTGTGGTTGTAAACCTCTGTTAAAATGTGGTTTCCTTTGGTCACTAAATTGATACTTCCCGCGATTACCAAAACTGTACGCGGAGTACCATTAAACAAATGTCACAGTATATTTTCAATAAAGAATATGTTCGCGCCGGAAGAGTCGCCTTTACGGCAGGTAAGTTCTTACAGTAATTTGTTGTTTAGTCAAAAATTGTACTTACAGTACTTTACTGATCCGGCGTTTTTACATTGGATTAGACTGTGATCACGACAATAATAAGGTAATGAAATATACCGTATTGTTTTAATAGTACGGCATACCTAATTAGCACCAAGTATCTTAGGTATTTATACCGCACTACCTAAAGTTATAAAGTAAAACAAGTACGGTCAAGATTTCTTCGGACTTTGGCCTTTTGCAAGCGGCATAGAGTTGATTAAATGTAATGTTGTAGAATTTAAACGTTAATTGTTAAGCTTTGTGTGTATTTCAGGTCTTCAGTTTATTCAAATGAGAAACAGTTACTTTGTCACTTCAGTATTAGAGGACTTCTTTTTTCTCAATTGAATTATATTCACATTGCAGTCAGAATTCCTGTTGTCGCCTGTAGGAGTGAAACAGCACGATGTTGCCATAAATATGTTAAAGCAGCATTACCTGAGCGAACATGTGATGGTGCGCGCACGCAACATTAACTTCACCGATGACTGCGCCATAGACGAGTATCTCATATGCTTGTTTAAACAGGGTAACCTTTTCCATAGACAATCGATTAACTTTAATGTAGAAACTCCGTAAAAACCACCTTACACACCTACTAAAAACCCGTATTTATTCATAAAGTAATCATGAATGTTACCGATGATGTCTTGATGCAGGCATTGTTTTTATAAATGATATTACATATCGTCACAGCACATGTATGAAAATTTAATTAAATGTTAAGAAGAACAGTTATATTTTTTAGAGGAATAAAAATTAACTGGCAGCTGTTGATAGTCATTTTCACATAGTCACAAATTCATTTAAGGAGCAATCTATACTCTTCTAATGAACCATTTACGAGGTTTAAAACTATAGTGAAACAAAAACTTTACACTAAGGGCATAATACAGCTTTTGCGTACTTGGATGACAAAAATCCTTATGGACAAGCTAAACTATTATTAGTGAAGTTGTCATCAACCTATTGTATTTGAAACAAATATTGTAAATGATAAATGTATACATTTTTTTACAAAGAGTTTCTTACTCATTCTTCTCAGGGGAATCAGCCTTACTAATGAGTAGTAGAGTTTAATTAATGTGGCCATTTGAAGTGTAATTTGCTTACCTATGGAATAAAGATTGAGATTGGACATTTACTTTCATAATACCAAGTGACGGGATAAACAAGTCGTGTATCTGGTGGTGAGCGACTCGCGTATCCAAAACAGTTGCAGTGCCACTCAGAGCTTTAAATCACAAAGATCTTAAGGGCGTCAGTTAACCTGAGACATAAATTGACAAGTCCCATGTACCTGTAATTTCACCAGCGCTTACCCTTCAAAACCGGAGTGCAATAGTGCTTACATTATTGCTTAGTGGCAGAAACAGGTAAGGTGGCACTTGTGGTGGTACTTCCCTGGACGAATTCTTTCATAAGGAGCTCTACTGCTACTACATATAAAAGGATCAAAACATTTCATTATTTTAACTACCAAATAAGACATAAAATTAAAAGTATAATTGTCAGGAAACAAGTCAGGATATTGGACGTTGTCATTTGTTAGTTTCTCGACAATGACATTTAATTTCGTCAATTTGGTGAATTAGGTATAAAAAAAAGACAATCGCAATTTATTTAAACATTCTACTGGATGGCACTTCATAAATTGGTGTAATGAGATCTATTATTTATTCTGCGACCGCTTTACAGGTAACACTCTATTAGCACGTACGGATGACGGAACACCGGCTGGAATCTGCGTAGGCTTTGCTAGCAGGCCTGCCGATGTGAAAAATTTACGTAACTACGCTTTTTATAGACAAGTTAGTTCTTACGCACTCTCTATAAGTTCTTTCTCAGCGCGCAGTGGTACAAACAATTGTATGAATAGCTTGACGAATGAGGCACAAAATTCATGAGAGAGGACAGATAATGAAGCAAGTAAGTCAGTCAGGTCGACAGACTAAAGCACATATTAATTCAAATTCATTTGTTTCAACTTAAATTCTATTGGCGTCTTTTTTTTTCAACCTTATCATTCACTTCACACTTCACATCTTCCGACATTCTAAACGTGGAACAACAAACTTTGTTGGTTATAATTATTAATAAAAAGATCGAACACAAAGTAAAATTCCTTCAAATCTGATGGGGCTCGAGCCTACGTCTGTGCAACCGGCGACCGCGCTCAAGTGGGATCGAGTCAACAGACCTTACGAATTTTTCGATGCGTCTCTTACAGATCTTTGTAAATTAATTTTAATGAATTTTTAGCCGTAGCGCCACCTATGAGAAAGTATTTTCTTCAACGTTGTTTTTTTTACTTGTTTTGCTTAAGCGCCCGCGTTATGCTTAAGAGCGGCGACCGCTCAGTTACCACGCTTTCACGTACATTAATGGCGAATCTGAATTCTATTTACTAGGCAACACCATTTCAATTCCTCTTAATAATACAACCGTGCGGTCGCTGCGTAGACTAAAGAACCATTCTCGGCCCGGGATGTTCATTTAACTTAAAACGTAAATGCTAAATAAATAGAGCGTGCTTTGCCATGACAGTTAGATGCACGCGTTCGCTGCGCGGCGGCAACGCGACTCCGCGCGGCGTGAGCGCGATGAATAAAATTCGGGTCGAATAAATCCGCCCTAAGTCTGCCGACTCTGGAATTCTCCTTAAATTGCACTGTCCACGAACTTTTAATGATGTCTTCAACGAATCGCCAAGTAATGGTGTTATACTTTAACACAATTCGTTTTTGTGTTTAGAGTAGATATTGAACTGTAATGTGTATATTTATACACTCAATTTGTATTGGACAGAATCCAAATACAAAAGACTTCTTGTACTTCACTGCAAAGTTGCAAGAAACGCCCAATCTCTGGGAGACATTCAAGGAACCGAAGATTTTTGAAGTAAGACTACGCTAAGTAACATGTAGTTTCATTTTGATTTTATTTATTATCTCAACCCAGAGCTAGGAATAAATTTTAAAAAGATTGACTTTTGTAATACGCCAGATTCTCACAGTACCTAATCTGAAAAAAAAAAGTAAAATAAAACAAATAAACAGGTTTGCGGTGGTGGTGGTGGTGGTGGACGGTTTAGTTCAATTCCATGTACATCGACAACCGGGTACTCATTATAGTGGTTCTAGCGTGTACGTAACAAACATGCAACCGTTACAGCTCGCTAGTGAGTACACGGCTTAGAGTGCGTACAGATCAGACGAAAGTGCTGCACGCACGCAGTGCACCTCTGTAATTACATCTCAGGCAAGACTCGCGTAATGCGCGTGATCTGCGCGCGCTCGACGTTATTGGGTACATGTTGCAGTTAATTTTGTTTTATACACTTATAAGTGACGGGACGAACAAGTACCTACCCATGACAATTGCAGTGCTATTCAAAGCTTTAAATTGCAAAGATCTGAAGGGCATTCTGAAGCTCTGCTTCCGCCAGCATGAGACATACATGCAGATACACATCAAACCAAAATTGATAATTCGATAAACATTTAAAAATGGGCTATTACAATTTCGCTTTGGGTTCTTATAGACTGCACTTTAGGTCCTATAAATGTCATACATATCGCGTGTCGGATCGTCAGACATATTTAATGTAATGTTTTTTAGATAAGAATGCTGGCCGTGGCTCCAGAATTTCGCAGAAAAGGCCTTGCAACATCAATGGTCGAACGGGCAATGATGCAGGCGTATGACCAGGGATTAAATGTCACACGCATAGACTGCATTAATTGTTACGAGTAAGTTAATGTACACAATAAAGACACAAAGTTTCACGTCTCTCTGCAAGAAACGTTGGTTCACACTAAGTTTTGTGTACCTTATGGTGGCACTTCAATGGCAATTAGTATTTGCGCATTTGATATATTTGGCAAACGATCACTATGTGTAGATAGCATTATGTATAGCAAAGTATTTGCCTTGTTTGTCAATTCGAGAAATACAGCAAATACCATACATGCATTACCACGCGCTGGTCGGTTTCTCGACGCACATCAAAGGGGTTAAATAAGCAAATAAACCGTCCACCTGTGGTCATATTAATTTTTTTAACTCCTTATTTGGCTCCATATGTAGACGATCACATTTGTCAGTAACTGCACGTTTGTGTACATGAAAAATATTTTTCCAAGTACAACAAACAACCAATAGCGAATACGAAGCCGATTCTGCTGGGCAGTGTTCGTGAAGTTATGCCATTATCTTCTTGTCCAAAATATCAACCACACCAATTTGATAGATCCCATTGATCGTACCGGGAATTAAACCCGACATCTCCTCATCCAGCGTCCAGGTAAGCCGTTGAGCCACGTGGTTGTCGTTCGTATAGGTACCTGGGAGGTCGGCACAGTGAAACAAAACGAATTTTGTTACTGGCAACTTCTATACAATCTGTGTTTCCACAAATGCGTAAGAAGGTATGAGTCAATATATAATATCTAAAGAGGTCAGTAGCGCTTTAAGAGCTTTAGTGGCGTAAAACAATAATTGTCAAAGACAATTGCTACTACTACTAGTCTTTTTTTTTATTTGTCAAATCTAAGGGCCAGAGCAAACCGGCGGACGGTGGGCGAGAGCAACGAAGAGGAGCTTATCTCCGCCAGCGGACACTGATGAGAGATAATCCCTATGTCACCGTTCGCTAGGATTTGTCCCGTATCGAAAAGTCACCGACGCATTCAGTCAGACTCCGTCATATACTGGTGGATTCCGTCGTATATATCGGCGCCTCTTCTCTAGCGTATTCTTCAATATCGCAGCGAAATGCGCTGCGACACTACGAGGTCGGTCTCGGAGCATTGAAATTTTACCTTATTGGAATTGAAGTAGCATAAAATATTCATTGATAAATTTAATGTTCTCTGCCTTTTCTAAAATAGTTTGCGTACACAACCGACTTCTCTGTATCTCCGAAACCATCAGACATGGATATTAAGCAGATAATTTATTTAATTTATATTTCAGTTATAAAGTAGCAGAGCGTAATATGTTGCGTTGTATCGCAAAGTTCCCGTTGCACAAACTGCGCGGAACCCACGCACCTTTCATAAAACGAGGCTCACCACACAATGGATGGGTACGAGTCTACGTGGCAGCGAGACAAAACTTCGATGTCCCAGATTTGAAGATACTGCGCGATAAACACCAACACATTGAAAGCCTCATCGAGTAAAAATGGTGACCTAAGGAAACCACACCTCAAATATTTTACTATTTCTGTAATATAAACCAATTATATAAATAGTAACTTTTATGTTTGACTTATCTTTAATCTTCTTGGCTCACTTTAAAGAGGATTTTGACTACCGACCTTATTAAACGCTTCTTCTGTTCTTCCTTTTTTAAATTTTCATGGTTTGATTGTAAAACATAGCTTAGTCGGCGGGTTTTTTCCTAATTTCTCTGTTCTATTATTCCACCTATATCAATTAACATAACTGCTTAATAATGGAAGCACTTTTGTAGAACATTATTATAAATCTAACAACTAAAAATAAAACAGAATTCAATCCTGCAAGCAGCGTGTGGATGTACCGGACTACCAACGTTTATTGCATTGACAGCTTCTTGACTTTACTCTTAGAGGTCAGCGATTTCCCTCACGGATTAAAAAATGTATGGCAACCATGATGAATAATGGCGTAAAATAATTTTTGACACAACAAATTTAATATATTTTCGTCGTCTAAACCTAAGGTCCTCGGGGTTCCGTATTATCCGCAAACTCTTTTTCGTATCAACAATATGCTAATTCCAGGCACCTTCGGATATGCTGATGAAAGCTGTTGTAGATAGTACCTACTTGACCAATGCAAAGGTTAGTGGAAAATAATCCCGTCTTATCGATAGTCCATGTTTAGTCGTTAGGATTTGACAGTCTTCAATTGGGGCAATGCCAATCTGGTCAAATGAGTCTCATTGACATGACTCCGATTTTTCGTGATATGATCATATACCCATAACCGATCATCCCCAGCTAATTGGAATGGACCTGTCGTCTAATTTGAATTTCGGCACTACATAGAATCCCTAGCTAGAAATGCAGCCAGGAAGCTTGGCATCCTTTCTAAGGTGATGCGTTACTTCACACCGGGACAAGTTCCCATACTTCTTTATCCATACTTTTCTACGATAGTTTTGATTATAGTGACTCTCCCTACGTAGGTCTCCTTACACGAGAAGGGCACTATAACCTGTGCGCGCACAGGAACCTTACAAGTTCAGGTTCTGACCTCGGATCAGCCAGTGTACAGGGTTCTCACAGACCTCTGTCACTTGACTTCATCCGGTTCTTCGAGAGGCTAGTGTCTCGGGTTAGCCACCCCGGGTGCACGTACATTATTGCCCCTGCCTATTTATCAGATAGGTACCGGAGCTGTAGACACGCTCACTTCCCGTTGCGCATTGCACAACTAGCGGTTGCCACCGCTAAGCCGTAGACTCTGAGTCCACTACCAAATCTCCTCATTGGTGGCGGAGCTGTAAGGCACGCTCACTTCCCGACGCCGAAAAACGACGTCTCTCTAGTTTCAAATAATCTAAGCGGCTGGAGGGACCGGAAGATATCTAGGCTATCTTCTACTAGCTCTCCGGGCTAATGCCGTAGATGCCAGTCGCAATGTCCTGCGACAATGTCCGGACATAGCTTCCAACTTAAAGGGCAACTCACGTGCCCCGCACGTCGCTTCAGGCCCTCAACTAGACCGCTACTAAGACGCGCTAGCTGCTCACGAGACAGACGCCCCGAATACATGCAACCGGGGCAGACAAACCCCAGCGAGTCCATACCCAAGTCCGGGTCCGCTAGAGACGTATCACTGGCGGAGAGCCCGCTGTACTCTGTCGAGCCCGTAGTCTCTCCGGATCTCTCGAGTATAGTAGATAGGGACGACACCGGGACAGTTGCTTCAGCTGTACCAAGCACAAGTCCGGTCGTGTATGGAGTACTGCTGCCATTTATGGGATTGGTCTGCTAAATACCAACCTCCTTGCCACCTTGGCCACCTTGGATTCAATCGTCAAGCGCGCCAAGAGGCTTATAGGTGACTCGAAATTAGTACAGGCGAAGCTGCAGAGCCTTGAACACCGCCGTAAAGTTGCCTGCTGTTGCTGCGGTATTACTTCAGGATATATCACGGAGAGTTTGCGATGGAATTGCATGATTTAATTCCGCCTTTCCATCATCGGGGGACCAGACGTAGGCATAGGGGTTCCTTGTAGATATTCCAATGATCGCACGAAGCGTTACGCATCCATATTTATATGGCGAACGTCTATGGAGTGGAATTCCCTGCCTGAAAACTTATTCCCTGAAAGTTATAACTTGGACCTTTTCAAGGCTACATCGTTGACCTCATCGTCACTTACCGTCATGTGAGATGCACGATCGGACGAGTTAAGAAATAACCAAAAACCAATTATCGAATACAATTACATTTTCAAGTACCTAGCCTAGTAGTTTATCTTCATAAACAGGCACTAATGAGATGATCTTGATAACATTCCAATCAATCCCTCACAAGTAGTTAGGAATTTCATTAACGTATCAAACAAATTGAATAATTTATTAGAACCACCACTTTTTCAGAAGTCTAACCGATTTCAAATTAAGGAAGTGGCCATTTTCCGCTTCAAGTGTAACGTAAATGGTATTTAGCCTAAATACAAGCAATTTCGGCGCAGTAATCTAGTCAGAGATGACTATTATGACAAAGGAAATGAAACTGTTTTTCCGAATTTAAATCGCGTATATTTACGGTCAGTCAACCGTGACCATGGGACCTGTAAAGGGCCCGAAACGTCGGTTTGTTTGAAAAAACAAATATACGCGATTTAAATCCGAAAAAACAGTTTCATTTCCTATGTGTAACAATCGCGAAAACCTAAGAACTCGATATTTTGACAAAGTTTATATATAGCATAACAGTGATCTTAAGCATCGCATAGCAATAATCTGCCTAAGTCACTTTCGTACATTTTATGTATAAAATATAATGTTACATATCTATAATGTATCTGATCGTGATAAACTCAAAAACCACTGAACGGGTGCTGGTACTGACTAAATGGCCTGGGGTCTAGTGCGGCCAAGACTGCAAATCCGCCACTGCTCACATTATTGCTTGGCGGCAGAAATTGGTAATAGGTTTCAACGACGCTTACAGATGGTAAGTTTTTGGAGTATACTGTTTTGTATCAAATATAATATATAAATATATATAACGCACACACTCAACATAGCTCCGCACTAGGGAAGCCCTGTGTCGCGGGTACCATGGACACACACATAGACAAACACAAATTACACCCAAACTCACGAGAGAAATAAATGCCATACAAATATTTTTCCCGGCCCGGGAATCCAACCTGGGACCTCTGCGTGGCAGTCCGGCATGGTAACCGTTCGGTCACGGAGGCAGTTAAAATAAAAAAAAATCAAGTTATTTTAAGTAGAATTGTTGTACCAAATGAATAGTTACTTAGAACCTAGACCATAAACTAATTTCACCCACATATTGAAACAAATATTTTTACTCGAAAAAACTCTTTCGCGAGGAGCTCTACTGCTACTAAACTCTAAACCATAGATAAAATTAAATACTATGTTTTATTTTTAAACATATTTCTGCAAATAACCTGAAACGTTGGCTTGTTTGAAAATAAAAACAAATATATACACGATTTTCGATCAGGGTAAAAATAGTTTCAATTCCAATATGTTGCAACGGCGAAAAACTATGAAATCGACTTTATTTTAGGTTGAATAATAGTCAGTTTCGAAAAAGGCCGGTTACATCTGTTATGACTTTATTCCATTATATCTTTTACACGATACTCATTCATTGCACAAAGAATTCATAACAAATTTTACATAAAAACTGTACACTCAGCTTATCACTTTGGAATTGGATAGACCTTATCTTAACAGACATAGAGTTATTTTTAATCTATATAAATTTAGCGTGCTACTACAATTTCATTTGACGAAATTCAGAAATCATAACTTGAAGAGAGCATAAATGCTCATAAATATTGATGCTCCATTAACAAGCACGCTGTCTCTAGTTTCATTACTAAAGTAAAGCAAAGGACAGTATTATAATTATGGACACCTTAAAATTAAAAGTCTTTTCTACAACTCGCTGTAAGACAAAACCAATGCTTGTTACAATGTTATTCAATGGTCATATTCAAATAAGGTTGTAGAATGTTCTTGATGAACCACCCATCAGTGAACCGCAAATGGTCTCCTTCCGTGTGAAGGAAGACCAGCTTCCCATCTTTGTCCATCTGTTTTAGACCGAGACGATCCTGAAATGGTAATAAAAAAAAAATAAAAAAAAATGTTCTATTCGTTCATTTTAAAGGGCATAGTACAGGGGCGGATGTTTCCATTTAGGCTTGTTAGGGCGTGTGTTAGGAAACATCGCTCTTCTATAATAATAATAATAATAATCTTGCTCTTGTATTATTTTAAGATGATGAAACCAAATTTATATTATTATTTTTTATGTAAACGTGATCACAACGTCGGTATTTTGTAGAAAGGGTGGTTTCCAGGGAAGCATGTTTTAATTTTCCACGACTTTTAAAATATTGACGTCCTATTTTAAACAAACTGAAAGTTAAAAACAAACTCAAATAAACGTCAAATTACTTAAAACTAACATTTAATTTTAAAAAAGTACGTAAATATAGCAAATGAAACTATTTTTCCGTATTTAAATCGCGTAGGTGTACACGTCACGGTTGACTCCGTGACCATGGGACATGTAAAGGGCCAGAAACGTTGGTTTGTTTGAAAAAAAAAACCAAATATACGCGATTTAAATCCGGCAAAATTGTTTCATTTCCCATGTGTAACAATGGCGAAAACCTAAGAGGACGTAAATATTTTAAAACAACGACAATAAAGTTTAAACGCAAAACGGTTTGGAGACATTTTCATGTCTTCCTCAACGTGACATTGGGCGGAGGTATTGATCGCATTGATAGAGCTATAAAATGTTAAAACTTGTAACAGTTTAACATTGATTAAATCCAAATTAAAAACTTCAAATAAACTTTACGAGATTCACAAGAACGCAAAATCAACCTCTAACCATTCAACAAACCCGAATTAGTAGGAAATTACAACAAATGAAAAAATGACAGTAGCCTAATTTTTTATTTTCAAATTAGATCTAAACAAGTACAATAATAACTAACCAGATTTTTGAAAAAACACCGCATTATTCTGGAGATTTTATTAGTGTTCCGCTAAATGTGCCGGTGTGTCTATGTAAATTAACTTTTTTCGTATGCATTGAAAGTTACGTTCATTCATGTTAAAAGCGATATGACATCAGAAGTATCAAAAAAATGTAAAATTAAACACGATCATGTTAACAAAATTCAAATTTTTTTTCATATCGACGCATCACTGATGTCGATAACGAAACATTTCGTGGAGACAAATGTATTACACACTGTAAGATTAAGATTGAAATTGAGCCTTATTGCAATATTTATTGGTAATGAAAATCATGATGTTTTTACTACACCACTAAAATAGTTTATTATTATTGATACAATGACCGAACGAAAATAAAATAGATAAAATCGCCATGGTAAAACAAACTCAAGAATTGGTAAACTGCGTAATCTAAATTACCTACCAAGGTATGTTCTTCGTCCATACAATAACAACTATGGAAGGCGATCCTGGAGATACATATTACCATACTGCTTAATAAATTGCCCAGTGACGTTCTTGATAAACTTCTAGGCAAACCAGACAAATGTAAGACAATTCTTAAATAAATTCATTTGTAAAAGTGTGAAATTTAATAGTTTTAAGTGTAAGTAACGTAATTTGCGCATAAGTACCTATTAGATATTAATTCTTTTGGTAGACGCCTGACAGCATGATTGTGATGGCAGCGATACATAAATCTTTTAATGGTTTTTATTCACTGTTTTTTGTGTTTCTTTTTTGTAAACTTTTTACTTGTGAATAAAACAATAAAAAACTTTCGATCTGACTAGACTCGAACCAGTGTTAGCCTTATTATACGATCGGTCCAAAGACAAACAAGATACTTCATATAAATTTAAATAAAATAACGCAAACTTTCAAATTCAGGGGCCCTGCTCACTCTATGTAATAACGCCTTCGGGACGCTGCTGCGGCTGCCACGGTTTTGCAGTGCGTCTGCCATGTTTGCTGAAGCTAGCGTCGACAACTTCATGGCACTCTTACGGAAGAAGTCAACGTTTATATTATAGAATAGGATACGCTGCATTATGATGTTTTTAGTTTTGTTGTTGTACCTATATGTGTATAATTGAATCAGTTTGCTGGATTATCTTTTTGTTTTCTTTAAAGTATTTTTAGGTAAGTACAGGTTCAGATATTTCATTTTAAATATGTATTATTTCTCATAAGTATAATTGTAGTTCCTCAAAATGAAAAAAAAAGTATACGTGTCAGCAGCAATGGCCTCCTGAAAACTATCGCGGCTAGGAGTGAGTGCCCCATAAATGTGGCATTTAATAACAAGCACAAAATCCTTAATACAATTTAAGTACTAACCTAATTATAATTTTCATACTTCATGGATATCTGTTGTCCATAATAAAGATTTATTATTATTATTAAATTCTTATTCACATTGTATAATGCATAATGCGAATAAAACAAAAATATTAAACACATACAAACCTTTTTGTAAATATTCGACTCCTGCAAATTCTGCAGCTTTATACTCTGCCCCGGCGCATAGAATCCGAACCAGGAGGTCTCTACAGGCTGAACCATAGTGTCATTGTCGAATTTTACCATCACAAAGTGTTCTAATTTCTGCAGATTCCTTACGTAGCCTTTTAGTACTCTTTTCTCGTTGTTTATGTCGGATAGGAAAATACTGTTGTTCTTATAAAGAGCTTCATTTAGCGGATCGTGCCAGTACGTCGCTTGTACTAGATACTTTTGAACCCAACTGTAACATACAAAAGACAAAACATATTTGGTAATGGAAATGAAACTATTTCAATCTATTACTTATTCTACTATTTCATACACATACACACGATTTTTCGTCGTATTAATCGTGTATATTTGTCTTTCAAACAAATTAACGTTTTGGGCTCTTTACAGGTTCCATGATTACGGCTCAGATTTATTTGCAAAAAAAAAGGAAATACAAATTATTTTAAATCCAGAAAATGTGTATTTGTTCTTTCCTTAAAAAAAGATAATATAGTCTACAAATGATGGAAAAAAAATATATAGTCTACGGTTCTTTCAAACAAATTAACGTTTTGGGCTCTTTATAGGTTCCATGGTCACGGCTGACATTTGTTTGAAAAAAAAAACAAATACAAACTTTAAAACATTAAAGTAAATGGCAATTAGTGGCATCTGGCAACTCAGCGTAACTTAATATTATATCAATATTTATTAACAAAGAAACAATCTAAGCAATTTAATATAAGTAAAACAATAAACAAAATACAAACTAATTTAATGCAGAAATTTCTTCAATAAAATTATAGACAATGTCGGTGTTTTGTAGAAAGGGCGAAGGCGCCATTTCGAAAAATTTTTCAGGGGAGCATGTTTTAGTTTTTCCCGACTTTTTAAGATATTTACGTCCTGTTTCAAATTAAATTTTAAAACTTAAACTTAATTAAAACCAAAATATGCCTTTGAAACAGGACGTAAATATTTGTAAATTATCGTTAAAACCTAAAACGGGATCACCTCGTGAAAATTTTTCAAAATGGCGCTTTCGCCGTTTCTACAAATCATCGACAATATGTTTTACGTTACCCCAGTGTTAGATTATGAAGGACTGAGAGTGATCACGATCTTCAAAATGATTATGGATTTCAAAGTCAATATCAAATTCAGCACCAGTAAAGTGGTCGTTATGATTGACCATTGTTTAGCTTGTTTATTTCATGTGATTGACCGATGAGTGAATAACCTTTTTTTTAACCTATCGTAAACTGACAGCAGTATAGTGAATGGTGACATCATTTTAATTAGATATGTTAAGCAAACACTTGAGTGAAACATGCACATAGCGTTATGCAACACGAGTAAAATAATATAATACTTTTTGTCTCTAAAAAGTTATATATACACACATCAAAAGTATCTAGGGATCAAGTACGTTTAAGAGAATTGCTGCAATTAGGGTTAATTATATTAACTTTTTTGTATCGCTATTGATACTTTTTACTGAGTTTTAACATTTAAATAAGGAATATTGTTTAAAATTCGATAATAAAAAGAAAATCGATTGTCAATGTGGTTTTGTATAAAAATGAGTTATAGCGTTTTGACAAAATCATTACAATATCTGCATCGGAACCGAAACAATTTACATTATTATGGAGAGACGACATCATTTAACCCGAGAAGTGATGATGCGAGCCGTCGGAATGTTGGAAGCTGGTTCCAGGCAACGTGCTGTGGCTTTCACTCTTAACACTACACAGAGCGTCATAAGTCGCCTCTGGACGCGCTATCGCATGACGGGCAGCGTGGCCGAGCGACATGGAGGACGATCTCGCATCACGACTCGCAGACAGGACCGGTATATCCAAAATACTGCTCGACGGAATCGTACCATGACCGCCATGATGTTGGTTACGAGGCTCCACAGCTCCTCAGGCTTGCTAATAAGCGATCAAACAATCCGAAATCGTTTACGTGAAGTGGGTCTGCGATCCCGAAGGCCGCTCAGAGTTCCACCTATTGCACCCTGCAATCGCAGGACCCGTTTACGTTGGGCTCGCGAACACAGAAACTGGGAGGAAGAAGACTGGCGCTATGTGTGCTTTTCGGATGAATCCCGCTTCGGTATGAGACCGGATACAAGACGTACTCGAGTTTAGAGAACATCTGGACGTCATGAACGTTTGAGATATTGTCAGGAAGTTCATCCATATGGTGGGGGAACAATAATGATATAGGCCGGTATTTGGATCGGCGGAAGAACCGATATCATTTGGATCAGGGGTAACCTCAATGCTCAAGTTTACGCAGAGAGGATTGTTTCAGATGTTATCATCCCTTTGCGAGGCCAGTTGGGTGATTCATTTCAACTAATGCATGACAACGCACGTCCACACACGGCTAGAGTCGTAACACGCATTCTTGCCGAAGCTCGTATCAACGTTCTGCCGTGGCCTGCTCAATCGCCAGACCTCAATCCAATTGAGCACGCATGGGATATGCTTCAAAGAAGAGCTGTGCCGAGTATGCATACCGTACATACTCTACAACAATATTTTGACTTGTTACAAAACACATGGGCGGCCATTCCTCAAAGTGATTTTGATGAACTCATCTTAAGCATGCCAAATCGCTGTAATTGTGTGATTCGTGTTAATGGTGGAAATACAGATTATTAATTTTCTTATCTTAACTGCCTCCGTGGCCGAACGGTTACCATGCCGGACTGCCACGCAGAGGTCCTAGGTTCGATTCCCGGGTCGGGAGAAGTATTTGTATGGCCTACATTTATTTCTCTCGTGAGTTTGGGTGTAATTTGTGGTTGTCTATGTGTGTGTCCATGGCACCCGCGACACAGGGTTTCCCTAGTGCGGGGCTATGTTGAGTGTGTGCGTTATTATTATTATTATTATTATTATCTTTACAATAAAAATGAGCAAAATCCTCATTTTCGCCATTTTTTTGTCATTTAATTGACGCCGTTAATTTGAGTTTTTTCCCACAATTTGCAAAAACATCAATTTTAGTTTATTTTAATTAAATATAGGGGTAAGCGGTTAAATAAAACATAAGCATTAAAGTAAGAAGTCGTCCTGGAAGACTGGATTTGGTAAATATTGCTTAAATAATTTTTATTTCAAAAATATTCACTTGATCCCTAGACACTTTTGATGTGTGTATTTTAAAAAATTAACAAAATCTCAGAAGTTGTAAAAATGTCCGTTTTGATAGCCTCAAAATTGTAAACCACTGGTAAATTTTGTATGAAAATTAGTAATGGCGCGACGGCAGTGCTTCTACAAGCGTCTAATTTGAAGGCGGCCTTATTGTGAGTTTTGAATTTCGTTTTTTTGAGTCGCGTGGTTAACGTTCGACTGAAATTCGGTTTGCCCGACGAACGTGTTTTAGTGTGTATTTATGAAGCATTAGAAGATGATGTTACAAAAAGATTTTTTTTTAACATCATCTTTTGTGATAAATTCCATAATCATGGACCTTGTTCAACCTCGGTAATAAAATTCTCCGTTCACGCTCATCCAATACCAAAGTGAACCACTTCCGTCCACCCCCACCAGCACATCTCACGACCGAAATTCAGTCGTAATTAAGAGCGTGAGTCGGCAGACAACTCGCGTTTTTGCGTCGTCGTGTGGCACAACCGGGGTTTTATATGAAAACGAAGACAACGTAAATTACCCAACTCACAAAATTACGTTCGTCAGGCCACACCCTAATAGTGAAAATGCAAGGTGCCTCGAATTGCGTATCCGGGAGTATTGTACGGGATATGGGTACAAGAGAAATTTATAATAAAAGAAAATAAATATAGATATTGATAAGAAGGAATATTTACACAATTCATACTAAGATACTAAAATATATTTTAAATCAAAACAGTTGGTATGGTTTAAATAAATTAAACTTAAACAAAGCCAAGTCTTTACTAAATGAATGGTAAAGTTTATCTAACTTTGATAACCTTTGTTCTCTAATAAATAACATCAAGTCTACAATTGTAAACAGGTTGGCGTGAATTTAATACTTGAGTTGAATTTGAATTGCAAAACATGCTCCCTATAACGATAACATAGGGTTGTTAATTCGAAACACAGGATTTCGGATTCGAAAAGACCAATTTAAATAAATAATAATGTGCCACACGGCCACACAAATTGCGTGGTCTCAAACAAGGGAATTCCCAGTCGTCGTCGGCTTAATTTTAAAACCTCGTAACTCTATTTTTAGACGAACTTCTTTACTCTTGAAGTGCAATTTTGGGCAGTAAGTTAGATATAAAATAAAGGTATAATCGTAGATTATCCTATAATTATTTGTAGTAATTCTGTTTTTCAATACATGCTCAAAAGTACCCAAAGCAACCGCATCCACTTTTCATCGTCAATCAGTACTTCCCAGAACACCCACACCAGGACTAATTTAGAAAAGTTAATTTCCCAAATTGGTCCTATCGACAATCGAACCCAGGACCTCCTCATCCAGCGCCCACAGTACAAACCGTTGGACTACCAACTTCGCCAAATTTAACATCGGCTACGCTTCGACGATATATGCTCGAAGCGTCTACGTCATTAATGCCTTGTGTCAGCTTCAGTACACATAGTTTTATTTGTTCATTTAATCTTCTTGCGCGATTCAATAATGTACAAATAGCGGACTTAATGCCATTAGGCATTCTCTACCAGTCAACAATGGGCCAAAAAGAAAAAACAAAACCAAAAGGTTGGTATTACCTTAAAACAAAAACTAAAATCTTAAGCCAAAATTTAAACATAATACAGCATAAACATAATTAATATATTTATATAATAAACAATACATACATAATAAATACGTAATATATAATAAACATAATATTATATTAATATATAAGTACCCACAGCAACATTATGCAGTCAAATACGCAACATGCGCTTGAAAGAAAACTTAGTCATAGTTTTGTTAATGTGTTATTTTCTTATTTCAGCTATCGTGAACTATTTATAATTGAATGCGATTATTGACTATTATAATATTGGGAAATTATGAGTAAAAGTATTTGTAGCATACCGGACAAATGCCCAAAACTGTAATTTGTTTCTGATGGGACAATTTTAATTACGATTACGGAGCTTAACATCACTAGTTAGCAACATGCCAGTAACGTGAGGTTAGTCAGATAATAATTATAGCTAGTAACCACTTATTTACAACTTGATTGGCTTGACTTTGATTCGTGTCAAGACAAGTTTGCTTGCAATAACGGATTTTAAACGCTCGAAACACAAAGTATCAATCACATGCGAAACGATAACTTCATGTAACACGATTTTGATTTCTGGTTTATCAATATCATTTTACCATTATTTCTCACATAAAAACATGAAAAACCTTTAATTCCCTATAGGAACTTTGCTTTTGTGTTCAGAACTAAACAAAAAATGAATGTAAGCGAATTTACAATTTTAATTTTATTTACACGAGCCAAAATATTCCGCGGAATGCGCGAGCATTCTCGAGCACGCGCGAAAAATCCGCGGAAGATTTTGGCTCGTATCTAATTTGTACGTTACACCATTGATCATAAAGTTCATTATGCTATGTACAATATCGTTACAAAAATTGGCTTCCATTCCGATCCGCTATAATATAAATTGACCCTTAAGGACGTGTTTCTCTTTATTTAAAGACAAAAAGGGAACATTATATTACAAATCAGTAGTATATTTCTACCAAAGTTCTAGAAATTGATGACAAACAACCTAGAAATGTGTAGATTTGTGAGACTATATAAATATCACCATGTAGCTATGTCAATAGGCAGCTATGTAAATAACACTGTGACAGCGGCAAAACCAACGTTTCAAGGGTATAGCTTGTCTTTTCTATACTATACACGCTGCTCAATTAACCAAAAACCAATACTGTCAAACCAGAAACAGTAACCTATTTTGAAATAGGTTACATAGTATAATTTGTAGGTACGCTTTTTATGTACATGATTGAAAAGTTAATATAAATGTAAAGCTGGACAGTTGTAAGTAATGTGGACAGTTTAATAAATATTAATTGAGAACATAATAAAGATACTACTTAATATAAGTAACCGGGTTCTGTGTATATGAAATTAATCCAATTGATTGGTAATTAATTGGACACAAGATTAACACATATTCTTAATTATGCGGCAATTTTCACATTTCGGTATTTGTAATAAAATTGAAATACACTGAGACGCAAAAATAACGGGCTATTTAGAAAAACCATGGTATTAGTAGATCAGTTCTGCGTTTTATAAACCTTAAAAGAAGACCGGTGGAGCAGAAGAGTACTACTGAAGACCTGGTACTAGAAGCGTCTGCCGCCAGAAGGATAGATGAACGTACTAGTCAAAGTTACCAGAAAAACTTGGATGCAAATTGCCCAAGACAGGAGAGAATCGCGTGCAAATGTGGAGGCATATATTCAGCAGTGGGTGACTAAAGGCAGAAGAAGGCCCAGGGAAGATTGTAATTTTTTTTTTATAACATCAAGTGACGGGCTGAACAAGTCGTGCGCCTGATGGTAAGCTATACGCCTGTCCATAACAGTTGCAGTGCCACTCAGAGCTTTAAATCGCAAAGATCTGAGGGTCACTGCCAATGCGCCCGTCACCCTGCGACACAAGTTAACAAGTTCTATGGGCCTGTAAATGATCTTGCTGCCCCCTTTTTATTGGTACGAGCGTAATAGTGATATTCTATTCTTGAGCACGATAATGCGCGGCCACATACATACTATTAGTTTCCGGAACTGGCAATATTTAATAAGTTATTACAACATTTGAAAAAGGAACTCTTTGTAGTTTGTAGAATACAGTTTGTTTTATCTGACTGTCACTTGTTTTTACATTGTGGCGTCATTTTACAAATTGGTTATCTACATCACCATGGCTTTAAAAAGTGAAAATTTTCTTAGTATGATTTTCTACGACTTTAAGGGTCGTATTCCAGAACTCTGCTCAATGCTCAAGTCAGTATTTGAGCAGACTTGGGTATGATTTCAAGCACTGGAAATACGACCCTAATGGCAAGGACTTGAGTATGATTTTCAGTGCTCTCTGCAATACTCAAGTCCTGACTTGAGTATTGAGTAGAGTTCTGGAATACGACCCTAAGTGTAATGTAATAGCTCAGCGGAGCTTCGCTCGGCTTCAAACTGCTTTTGGCGATGAAGCATCATGCGAGACGACTATTTATAGCTGGTTTGTAGAATTCAAATACGGTCGTGTGAATCTCAGTGACGAATTTCGTGATAGTCGCCCGTCCACTGCTGTGAACAACAAAAACATCGATGCTGTGCGCCGTATGATCAAAACAGACAGGCCTGTGACATACCATGAGATTCGGGCAGCTTTAGGCATAGGCATGAGTCAAATAAATCAAAATCAATACCACACAAACATTTGGGTGTGAAAAAGCTGTGCTCTCGGTGAATCCCACACAATTTGACTGAGGCTCAAACAACGGATCGCGTTACTTGGTGCAATGCCATACTTACCAAATTCAACGAAGGGGCGTCAAATTTGGTGTTGGACATAGTAACAGGTGACGAAACATAGATTTATAGTTACGATCCCAAAACAAAGCAGCAATCGAGCGTATGGGTCTTTCGAGATGAGCCGAAACCAACCAAAGTGGCGCGCGTGCAAAGTGCCTCTAAGCGGATGATTGCTTCTTTTTTTAATAAAACTGGACACGTGGCTACTGTTGCTTTGGAGAATAGTTGTACCGTGAATAGTGATTGTTACACGACTATTTGTTTGCCGGAAGTTATTGACAAACTCCGTAAAAATAACCGTAAACGCCGTATCATCTTGCACCACGATAATGCCAGTTCTCACACGGCCAGATAGACAAATGAATTTTTGAAGGTGAACAACGTTGACCTTATGAGCCATCCCGCGTACAGTCGCGACCTGGCACCTTGTGACTTTTATTTATTTCCAAAAATTAAGAACCAGTTACGCGGTCAACGATTTTCATCACCTGAAGAGGCTGTCGAAGAGTATTCAAAATATGTTTCAGAGATTGTCACGGAGGAGTGGCATAAATGTTTTCAAAATCGGTTCATTCGTATGAAAAAGTGCATTAACGCGATGAGAAACCATAAATTCAATTCTGATCATTTATAGTATTTTTTTCTTACTCGTTCCGGAAACTTATAGTGCGCCCAACGTACATTTGGCCAATGCATGTGACCTTATTTGACCAACTCGCAGCCCTGACTTAAAACCTATAGAACATATTATTATGATTAAATTTTGGTACTTTAAGTATGTATATGATATTTGTGGTAATTGTTTAAGTGCTTATTATACTACCAGAATTCAAGTGACTCTAACTTAGGTAGGTGCAAAACAGTTCGGGAGTTAGAGTTCCTAAATTGGGAGAATTTTTACATACGTAAGTTAATAAGAGGGGCCCTCAAACCGACCACGCCCGCCCTTACCGCAGGGTCCTTGAAATCGGATAGTGTATTAAACGTTTTAGTGATTTATTTAATGTCATTATTGAAGAAGTGCCTGCCTCCTCTTTTAATCTATACGAGATTCGATTATTTTTAGACTTACCACACTAATATGACGTATATACACAAAAGTTTGAGTAGTTGTTGATATTTTGCATGGAATAGCTAATATTTTCTTTGCGATTTCTAATGTATCCCACTCATAGTAAAAGTTGTTTGCATTAACATGTGGAATTGCTTTTGTTCTGGTGTACTGCAATTAATTTTTTTTTATTAACCTGTATAATACAATAATATATATAACTCACCCAACATAGGCGGCATAATTAAGAAGTTTTCTAAAGTAATCGCAGGTAGCATGTGAAACGGCACCGCAATGTGGGAGACCGTATACACCCTGATGTTGCCCACCCAGAGAAATGAAGTTTTTTACTGGAGGCAGAAGATGGCCACATCTTTGGATTAATCCTCGCCTGGAAAAAAAATAGTAACATTGTCAAAATCTTATTATTGTAAAAATCACATACCCTAATCTTAATAATTTATGTAATTGCAAAATAAGTAATAAAGTAATAATTAAAAGCATTTTTGTAATCTATTTACAGAGGAATATTCCGGAACTAATTTTTCCATAGATGAAACAAAAATAAGTAAAAAAAAACTGCACATAACATTTAAAATACTTACATAAACTGGGCTCCCTGCGAAAATCCAATAGCATTAAATCCTTTTTTCAAGTAAGGGTCACCAGCAATCTGATTGCAAGCATATTCAATTTGATGATTTGGATTCATAAAGTATCCATTTTCAAAATCTTCCGTAGTTGAGTTACCGATCCTCAGAGAATGAACATAGACACCTTTTAGTTGTTCTTCCAAAAACCTCTGGAAACCTCCAAGACTGAATGAAAAACAACATGTGTCTCCTGTAGAAAAAAAAACAAATCTGAATCAAAATCAAATCGAAATTTTTATTATATGATCTATTTAATCTTAAATACTTTATTTATTTTTAAATAAGACTAAACATGTGCTTATAAATATCCATTTATAACTTTCTTATTTTTTAGGAGGAGCTAGAGAGAAGACCCAAAATACAGGATAAACCTAGTTCAGACATCTCTATAATTTTTGTAATCTATACTTTATACTGCAACTACATACATAATATTTACAATGTAAAACTTTGTAGAGAAGTGAAAATTCCTGATTATTGTTTAATAATAATTTGTATATATTACTATTATTTTATTTACTGTTTACCCACCTAACAATTCTTAGTCCTTAATGCTAATGCTCTATTAGTACTAAGCATTAAGAAATACTTAAAATGTTTCTCACACTTAGGGTCATATTCCAGAACTCTACTCAATGCTCAAGGCAGGACTTGAGCAGACTTGAGTATGATTTCCAGTGCTTTAAATCATACTCAAGTCCTGACTTGAGCATTGAGTAGAGTTTTGGAATACGACCTTAAGTCCTATAAGCACTTTCTTTCATTTCTATAACACTCAATACTTTGTGTACAAAACTAATTAAAAAATAAAACCATGAACTTTACAAGTCTAATTAAATAAAGTATTCAAGAATTCAATCTGGTGCACAAATCAATTTAAATTTAGAATTAGTAACCAGTATAAGTTAAAGTATGAGATAAATTAGGTAGGTAATAAAGTTGATAAAATTTTTCCACTACAACTTGTAAAACTCACCCATTCCATGCCATAGCACTACCGGCACATATTCAGCAGTTGCAATCTTTAAAGTTAAAAAGAAAATGAGCCACGGTTTCATTTTTACACCGCAAAATGTGGGGCGCAACTGATATTTCTACTTAGTTTTCACTTTTCTTTAAGAAACTCGTATCTACTAAAGAAATTTCAAGTTTCTATTTTACGCCGTCAGCCGAGAAATATTCCTAGTAAAATATAGAAACGCTTTTGTTTCCACAACGTTTTTATTAATTTGAACAGTTAACGCCACAACACAACCGGCAGACTCTATTAAATACAAAAAATGTTTATTTATACTGTCAGCTGTCAAACTGTCAAACTGAAGGGACCGAATTGACTGGAATTATAACCTATTGCTTACAATACAATAGAAACCATCTTAGTGGCGCCCTCTAGATGTTACTCTGAAAAATACACTGGAAACCCCGTAGTTGCAATGGACAGGCAAGTCTGCTGTTGGGGAATGTTCCGAAACATTTCAATTAGTGAACATTTTTCCGGAAAAAAAATCTGAAAAATTGGAAAAATATTTTTTTTTCTGAAAAATATGTTTTCTTGAAAAGGAGTAGAAAATTTCTCATGACCCTACAATAGGTAGGTCTTTTAATCAAATCAAAAATCAAAAATCATTTACTTCAGAAATTAATCCATATCATTTGTTAGTTACAGGCACTTATCAACTATGTTAGTACAAGAATATTTAACAAATAGTAATAATTATAGATAAATATATATTATTTTATAAGAACGTACACAGGTTTATGAAGGGCATCCCACGCCTCCAAAAAAGGACCGTCCAGCCTCTCCGCCACCGTGGCCAGGAGGCTGTTGGAGCTGCCGCGCACGCGTCTTCTCAATGATGCCATGCGTTTGCGCATTATGGCATGGAAGCCATCAATCTGCGTTTCCGCGAACATTCCAGATGCACTACAATGACGCGGCAGCCCCAACAACATCCTGAACGCGTTGTTATATTGGACTCGTAGGGCGCTGTAAGCCTTTTGGGTAAAGTGTATCCATAGGCTGCAAGTGTAAAACGACTGACAGTACGCTCTGAATAAGGTAAGTTTTACGCTGTTAGTACACCTTGCAAACCTACGGATCAACATATTACTTCTGACTGCCAGCGCCCTACGCTCCCTCTCTACATCCACGTCATCCCTGAGTCCAGCTGTGACCCAGTGCCCCAGGTACTTAAACTCTGTAACCCGCTTCAGAGGTGTACCGTTAAGCGCAACAGGTGGTAATTGGTCTGGCAATGTCACCTCTTTCGCCTCAAAAATCATCAGCTCACTTTTAGAGGTATTGTACCTGAGGCCATGTTTCACCGCATACCGCTCACAAATTGCCACCAGCGTCCTGAGGGCACTGATGGAAGGGCTCAGCAACACCATGTCATCAGCATAACTAATGTTATTTACAAAAGTCCCATCTACCGAGCATCCTACCATGGCGCTGCTGAGCTCCTCCACCAGCCGATTGACGTAAAAGTTGAAGAGTGTGGGCGACGTCAACCCCCCCTGCCTCACCCCACACTCCAACTTGTACGGATCGGATAGCACATCTGCCCATCTCACAACATTGTTTTGATGACTGTACCAATACCTGAACAACTCCACCAGCTCACCGGGTAGTGTAGTGTCTTCATACAGCTTCTGCCATAGTTTACCATAGGACACCAAGTCGAATGCCTTCGACAAGTCCAGGAAACATGCGAATACCGGTGTTTTCCTGTCTGTGTAGTATCGAACAGTGTGCTTAAGGCAAAGAATTGCTGCCTCTGTGGAAAGTCCAGATCTAAAACCAAATTGTGCGTCACTAAGTTTCACATGACTATCCAGTTCCCTGTCAAGCACACCGTCCAGCACTTTTGCAACAATTGTTGCCAGTGAATTGGGCCTATAGTTTCCTATGTCAGAAGCATCACCTGTTCGATTCTTTAAGATCGGCACTACCACAGTTGTCATCATATCATCAGGTAGATATGTGTGACCGACACAGAAGGTGAAGAGCATGGCTAGTACTCTAGACAGATGTACCCCAGCATGTTGCAGATGTTCTATACTGAGGCAATCGTACCCAGGTGATTTCCCACGCACCATACCCCTCACCACCCGTGCCACCTCCTTAGCCGTGTATCTCACCGGAGGAGTTACAGCCGCTCGTCCTACTGCAGGTGGATCTCCACTCTCACTGACATCCAATGGAGACACAGTTTTAAAATGTTGCTTAAATAGTTGGGCAATCTGGTCAGACTCACTAACACCCTCCACGCTCACAGGGAGACCCGTTCTAGGTTTCAATTTGTTTGTTTCTTTCCAAAATTGTCTAAAATCTTTATTTGTGTGTTGTGTAGCTAAAATATCCATCTTAATTTGCTCAGCATTTGTTTGGCACCATTTCAATTTTTGTTTAAAAACTTTTCTGGTTTCCGTCATAGTAGCGTACACAGGGCCTTCCTTAGGCTTTCCCCATGAGACCCAATTTTGAAATCCTATTCGAGCCTCCATGTGAGCCTGTCGTACGTATTTATTGAAACCTGTAATATGTCGCTTCCGATTCAATCTGAGAACATTGGCATTAGAACTACAGGTGGCTGCTCTTTGTAAAATATCAATAATGTTAGCGTAAAACTTGTCAATAACTAATCTATGTTCCACATTATCACAATGTTAGTCGCTGCAAGTTCTAAGTTCAGTCGGAAAGTCAACATCTCTAAGATACTCATTACAGTACTGTGTATACAATGTTACTTGATCTGGGTGTCGCTCCCCCCACTTAATTTTATTACATTTCTTAAACTCTAATTCATTTTTACACATAAATAAATTTAAATTTAACTCTATCTCTAGTGGCTGATGGTCAGACCAATAAACACCATAGTCAATTTTAACGTTTTGTATTGTTTTGAGGGCTGCCTCAGACACTACACAATGGTCCAGCCATCTACTTGTTCCGTTAATATTGCTCACATATGTATATGAGTCCGACGCAACTCCTAGCATCTCTATATCTGCACAATGCCACTTTTGTTCTGCACAGAAATCCAGCAGTTCCCTACAGAATTTCTCACCGGGATGCGCATTAAAGTCTCCTAGGATGAATACAGAATCCATCTGACAATCGTCCACTATTGCCGCTAACTCACCCAGGCACTCAACAAACTCTGTGAGATTCTCAGAAGAGTCAGTTGGCATGTACACAGAAAGCACCAAAAGCGACCTATCTGATATCCTAGCTTTAATACCGGTCATCCGTACACTGTTTGTAAAATAGTTTTAATGTATGAACAACAAAATTAATATAAAATTAAGAAAAACTGGAGGTGTCTGTTCGAAGGCGCATTTAAATGTTCCTACTAGATATAAAGTTGTGTTTAGGTTAGATAATACGTTACAAATACAAAACTGGAACAATCAATGTATTTTAATCCAAAACGTAATTTAATCGTGTACTGATTTAAAAATATATTATGCTGTATGTTTATAAAGAGCTTTAACACTTTTTACATTACACTGCACTAGATGGTGCTGTTCAATAACTGTATAAAGCGCGCTCTACCGTATTACTACGAGTACAGTGTCCTGCGATTACTACTACTTCAAATATCAGTTTAAGAGTTTTAAGACCAGTTTAATAGATGGCGTCACAATAATTTTCAGATTTTGAAGTGAGTTACTGCGTATTGATAATACGAATTATATAGTGAAAGACATGTGTACCCATATATTTATTTAATTATTTATTTTAGTCTCATTAAACGTAGGTACGTGATCAAATTAACCTACGTAAATGATGACTGATAAATGTTTGAGTTGCTAATTAATGTGTGTACGTTTCCGAGCACATTTACAATGAGATCGGTACGTGCCTATTAAAAATTATGCCTTACAGAAAGTTGCATTTCATAATAAGTCTTTTGGTTTTTTATAATGGTGCAACATAGATAATTATCTTAATATAAATTATTATTCGTAACTGCATCTGTACTGTATGTTATTTTTCATTGGTTCCTATTTATTTATTTACATAAATGAAAATAGGTAAAATGACACAGTTGTAAAGTAGTGGTTATATTAACCATACGGTCATGTCTTAGATTTTATTTTTTCCTCAATAATAGTAAAATGATGGAATGATGTTGCTTAATTCAGTAAGTATCAGAAATTACAAAAAATTTAGGCACGGAACACCTAAATGTTTTATATCAAATTTATTTTATATGAAATTTTGTCGTATTTATATTTTACTTTTAAAGTCGTCGGTTGGTTGAGTGAACGAATTAATTAATCCCTGTACGTTCCAACAGGCACTAGTCTTTTTTAAGCGAATAAAAAAGGCTACTTTCTTAATGCTAAAAAAGTAGCAAAAGACATTCCGAATTGGCATTTTATCGAGTCACGGTTCAATAATTCAAACCGAAATACCTAATTATGTCATGATTATGACAGGTGTTCAAGTGAACTTTCAGCAAGTACTTAATCTTGAATAAACAATTTAGAACAACGCGACGTCACCGACATTCTATCTCTATTTGTGTCTTTGGAATTACCTGTTCTAGTGTCCCTCCAGGGCGCCTTCAAATAAGATTTATGTTTTTTGTTTCGTTTGAAATAAAATATTATTTATTTTTAGATGCCTGTAGAAGCATTTGACGCGCGACATCCGCGCCACTAATTACTACTAATTTTCATACTATATCTAGTCTCTCAAATATAATATGTAAGTAGTCTTTAATAGAGGCATGCGCGTGGCGCGACTGCTGCTAGCTGCGCTTCTAAATATTGTGTGAAAATTAGCGTAATAAAATATTGTACATTGCCGCCGCTGCAGCCCCACAGTCGCGCCACTGCTGCGCTTCTACAAGCATCTAATTCGAAGGCGCCCTTATTTATAATCGTATTACCCATATTTCAACAAACGGAATATAAATACATAATACAAACGAAATATTTTTTTTTTATTTAGAGTCTATACAACCTCAAATGGCTTAGGTTCATTCCGCATAACAGTGAAAGTGTTGAATCGATCACTTTCGAAAACATGTATGATAAAATTGAGGATATACCTACACTGATTATTATTAATTTGGTGTGAAAACACGACTCCTAAAAATTTTACACAACTCAACCTCGAAATTTTATAAGAAAATCGCTGTATTCCACAAGTATCTACTTTACATGTTTTTTTATATCAACAGGGCTATTTTTTTTTAATATATAAAGTAAGAGGCAAACGAACAAACGAGTCAATTCAATTCTGTATATATGTCGCAGCCGTATTGTATAAAGCGCCATATTACATTACGGCTAGCCGGTTTGCAAAACGGCGCTGTTTGCTAATACGGCTACCACGTGTTCGGTCGGATTGTATTCGCCTAAGAAAAGTGCGCCGCATTATATTAACACGTGGTGTTTCACACAGCGGCTAAGAAATGGAATTACAATTGTTACGCTGCTTTGAGATACTTAGTTCCAAGTATAGCCGCCAATAGCGCTGCATTATCATAACAACAATAATGCCGTCGCAGACAGCAACTGTCTCAACAAAGTGTAAACAATATTAGTTTTAGGAGCGGAAAAGTAAAAATGTGCGTGAAAATACTGAATAGGTAAATGGTGAACATAGGTAATAGTGAAAAAGAAATAATTCTTGTTATTGCCTAACACGGCAATAACAAGAGAAATAATATGTTACTTACTTGCGTTATAGTCTCGTAACAACTACTTAAAAGTATAAGGTTATCAAATCTTCTTTGATCATTATCATTGACTTACAAATAAACATTATTATAAGATTTCTGAAGTTTTTTAAATCATTGACGTTTTGTAGAACGTGTAGGGATCACAATCTGGCTGAATACGAGGTAGCCGTGTTATATTAGAAAACAGCGCTGTTTTGCAAAGCGTATAGCCGTAATGTAATTCGACGCTTTATACAATACGGCTGCGACATATATATGTACTGGTGGATTACACATCTACGAAATTGCCTAACTGTGTAAAATTTAAGCAAGTGCATTTGTAACAGCGTTGCACTGCCGAACACGCACGTGGCTCCTTCATAAAGAGATTTTATGTGTTGACCATTAGGTGCATAGGTTTAGGTAATTAAAAAACTTCATTAAATTTTCCACAATTTATTTTAAAAAGAAATAAATCGGTATCCAAAATTGCAAATCATTATTGCATAATCATTGTATACTCATGTAAAACGCCATAACAACAGTTAGTCGGTCCAATCTGAGTGGTACATGTGTGTCATACAAAAAGAGAGTTAGCACATTCGAATACATATTAAAGCTATGCAATTAAATTGCATAATGATTCAAATCTCAGCGAAAATTAAGGATTACGTAAGCAACATAAACAAGCCAGAAATGGTACGAGACAAACAAAATTTACAAACATTAATTTAAAATATATGGCTTTTTGAAAATCATATCGATCTATCCTTAATACGATAAGTATCTATAAATCCTAATGTAAACGTATACATACAAATATAATAGAATGATTTTATTTACTATCCTTAACGATATTCTAACTCGATCACAGTCTCATGGAAATCACTATAATCTAATTTAGTCCATTGAGAACACTAGAAATAATTGGAGATCAGTCCTTCGCCAGCACCAACTGATGCTTCGTCATCGTAGATACAGACACCATCGTACCGACGTGAATCCGATCTAGGTAAAACTAGACGGCACAGCCCATTGTATTTCAGATCTTGAGTTACAAAATTCTCATGGAGTCCGTGTGTTTAAGGATGTTTTGCTCAAGAGTCCTCACCTTTCGCGGCAAGTCCAAGCTGTCGCTTGAATCTGAGGAGTCAAGATGTCTGTTGTAGGACCTGATTCTTCTAGCTCTCGTGTCCGAGTCGTACATCAGTGTTTGTGTGCTTCCTTTTCGTGACCTGAAGACGATTCTGTAGGGTGTGCTGCTCTGAACATCTGACATAGACCTAATATGTCGTCTCATTTTAGACTCCTTTGTAAGAGGCGCGAAGAGCAGTGGTTTTTCTGGTTTTGCTTCTTGAAGGGACCTGGAACAAAGCAAGGAGACCAATAAACATTTGTTTCTTCAATAGGAATATCATTTTAGGCGCTCTTCGTGGTTGTTTGGGTGTTGAGTAGCTGTATGTACTTTACAGTGAAACGCTGATGGTGAGAGTTGTAACCAGAATGCATTTATTAGCAAATGTAGCTAGTTGAATAATATACTAAAATGTTGAATACAGGGTCAACCAATCAGAGGGCCTACATTACTTGAGATGCATTGCTACCTCGCTAGTGTTTGCGGCGACAGACGTGACGTATGGAGTGACGCGCGATTGAGAATGATTTCGATATTCTACTCGCATCATTTCATTCGAATGACGAATTAGTAACCAACAGATTTTCGTATTCGAATGATCTGTATGATCGGTCATTACCACTATATTACTAATTCATAGATTCCATAGATCATTTCTGCCTAGCCCTCTCTGAGATATGGTAAATACCGTAAATGCATCGAGTAAATAACCAAAAATAGAGACGAAATAAGGGCCATCCATCCCTGGCAACTCATCGGGTAAATTAGCCTTATATTACTTTCAAATATTAACTCTCGTTTGCGCTGAAATCACAAATTAGAAAACTGAAATAGTACAGTGCTAACAACTGACCTGTGTGTGCGTCTCTGTATGTTCCAAAAACATTTTGTATTTATTGTATTAAAGATAATATCTCTAACAATGGGGGCTGTTCCATTCGGTGGTGTGGGAAAATCAGCAAAACATCTGATTACAAAACAAACGGAACCACATTTCATCGGTAATTAAATATGTAATTTTCCATTTTCGTCCATTATGGCAAAGCTCAAGTTAAACTGGCAGATTTGAAGTGAAACAATTGACTACACCCGTCAATTGTTTCGAATTCGGGCTGGCCAATCGGAGCGCAGTTGTCACAGTAATAATTTGGCAGAATAGTTTTAAACAAATTAAATGACATTTCGTCTCTATTACTGGTTATATACTTGATGCGTAAATGTGACGGGGAAAGAGAAATTTGGATATGGACATGGTGAATGATTTGCGCATTCGAATGATTAGTATTAGTAACATAGTCGCGCATCGCTAGTATATAACTACAAACTTAGAATAATAACGCATAGAATGATAGTTTCATATCAAACGAACTGTCACAAGTGAGGCAAAAACCAAATTCATGTAGGCGTAAGCAACTTGTAACTACGCTCGTCGGCACGCACACAAATATACAAATAATGATGCCATGGAATAACATTTCCCTCAAAAGTGGGGAAATTGTATCTTGCTTAACTCATCATTAAGTTAAAGGTGCCTACAGATTTGCCCGACATTGTCGATCAGGTGCCTACAGATGTGCTCGGTTTTGTCGATGAAAAACGAATATAGCACTTATTTGTAAATCCAAGATGGCGGACACGATTTTTCAAAATATGCTATATGGGTATCCTTTTCGAGCTATTTGGGGATGCTCATTACGAATATGGCACTCATTTCTAAATCCAAGATGGCGGACACGAGTTTTGAAATAAATGCAATATGGGTATCATTTTCGAGGTACTTGGGGATGCTCATTACGAATGTGGCACTCATTTCTAAATCCAAGATGGCGGGCACGATTTTTTCAAAAAAATGCTATGTGGGTATCATTTTCGAGGTATTTGGGGATGCTCAATGTGAATATGGCACTATTTGTAAATCCAAGATGGCGGGCACGATTTTTCAAATAATGGCAAGTTGGGTATCGTTTTCGAGGTATTTGGGGGTGCTCATTACGAATATTGCTTTTGTTTGAACTGTCGTGTTTGCCATCTTGGATTTAGAAATGAGTGCCATATTTGTATTGAACATTCCCAAACATCTCGAAAACGATACCCAACTTGCCATTATTCGAAAAATCGCTCCCGCATCTTGGATTTAGAAATAAGTGCCATATTCGAAACCTAAAACCGAAAATGCCATAAGCAAACATTAAAGAAAATAACTGTTAAAATAGATTAAAAAATCGCTTAAGAATGCTCCCCTTTTAAGAAAATAAAATATTTTAATATAAAATATTTCGCTTGAGTTACGAAAAGAAAGACATATAATAAGCTATCAAAGTTGTACTGGTGGTGCCAACACTATAGTAGAAACAAATATATAAGTACTGTAAATTTGTTGCAATATGTGCTCCAATTCAAATAAAATTAAAATAAATAATTATTCAATAAAGCATGAACGCAGAGCCGTTAAAAGTATTATAAAATAATTAAGTGTCCCAATCACTTACAGGAGTTAACGAAAACATTTAATGTTTATTAAAGTAAATATTAGTTCAAGATGCGCAAATAAATCTAAATTACAGGCACCACTAAAATTTACGTAATATAATTATTTTGATAGAGAATAGCAAAATGGGGAGAAAAAAAATTCGTTACTTTGCAACACTTTCGTATCTTGTTGCCGCGAAATTATTTTTCTGTTTTAGTGAATATTTACATAAAAATATGAGTTGAAACGCATTACTTACTTGTGGAATGCGATGTTAGTGTCTATTTTATGTTTGTCTGTTGTATTTTTACACCCATTTACCGCACATTTCGTCATTTTTAGCAAAAAATTTTGGAGCTGTTCGCGGTGCAATATGACCTTGAGCACTAACAGCCCGCGCGCTCCTGGGACGCGTTTGGAACCCTCTAACTTGCCTCACTTAGCGTGTGCGGGCTAGGTTTCTATGCGTTATTATTCTAAGACTACAAACTAATTAAAGCGTTTATGAATTTCCGGTGCAATGTGTAAAATTCTCTCCTCACATTGTTCTGTCCATATAAGTACCTGCCCAGATTCACCAACTATATCTCTATGTAGAATTACTGATACTAGGTTATCTACGTTGGTAGGTAAGTTGGTAACTAAATGGCAACGATCGAGGAAGTAGATTACTTTAGCATCAGTAAATGCTAGAATAAATACTTAACCGATAAGCCACACCGGATGATATCAAAAATGAGTATCAAGCTAGAGAAACTTTCGTCGAATGACGTCATGGTCAGATTCTACATTTGCAATTGCAATATCATACGAAAATTCTGCCATTTAACATGTTTAGACTAAATATAAACTTTGCTTTCAACGATAAAAGTAACGCAATCTATTTATTGTATTTCCTTACTAGTGCATTACTAATTGAAATGAACCACTGTCCATTACTGAGAAATTTTTACTTTAAGCAAATTTTATCTATTAAATGAGTGTAACCTTACTGATAAAACAGGGTAAAACCAACAATAATATAATTCATATTTAGAGGAAAATACAACAACGAAATACGAGTTTTGAAGAAAATATGACGTCATTTAATATCGGTCGGTATACTTTTCCGTTCCATTAAATATATATTTATTAATACGTCTCCATTGAGTACTTATTATTAGAATCAACTTCAGAGGCAAGCAGTCGGGGATTCAGTTATATGGACACATCACACACACACATTGGACTTTGGTTTATTCTTATTACCTATTCTATTCTTATATTATCTAATTTAAATCTTTATTTTTATATTTATATGAAACTTTATGTACTTTGACCCTGTATCTATAGATAACCATATCCTTGAAGAATACCTATTTGTTTTTGAACATTCGCAGTGCCATTCATAGCATAACAGCTCGTTTTGAAAGTGTTCGTCCAGGGAAGTACTGCCACCTTATCTATTTTTGCTGCCAAACAGTTTTGAAGGGTAAGGGTGCTGGTGAAATTACAGGCACATGGAACTTGTCAACTTATGTCTCAGGGTAACGGGCGTAGTGGCTGTGCCCCTCAAATCTTTGCGATTTAAAGCTCTGAGTGGCACTGCAACTGTTATGGACAGGCGTGTAGCTTACGATCAGGCGCACGACTTGCTCGTCCTCTCACTAGATATTATAAAAAAAAAGTATGAAACCACAAAGATCTGAGAGGGACTAGAGCGCTCGTCACGTAAACATTGACAAGTCTTATGCGCTAGAAATTTCCCCCTTGTCTTCTAAACCGGAACGCAGTAATGCTCACATTACTGGTTCGCAACAAAAACAGGTAAGGTGGCAGTATTTCCCCAGATTAACTCTATTTTAAAAAGCTCCATTGCTACTAAAACTTGTAGTTTGTTTATATAAATGTAATACATCTCTATAAGTAATGTATAAAAAAAAGTTTAAGATGAATAAACTAAAATTTAAATAAATTCATTTTTGTTAAAAAAATTGGTACTTGTTTTAATGCCGATGCAACGGTATCTTACGTAAATCAAAAGCAAGATCCAAATCTTGTTCAATTAAAAAACTTCTTTCTCTCTCAATCTTTGAACAGGCTATAATTTCGGTTGTTATAGGAAGTATGATTCATCCTATCAAAGCTTACGGTAATTTAGTTTGTCATCACGTAATAGTTCCATTAATTTGTTCTTCTTTCTTTGTAGATGAACTAATTTTATTATCTATGGACACTGACTAATAGCACAAAACATTTTCATGGATTGTAGTAATTGTATTTGCCTGACAAATATTAAAGTTGGAATATAAACTAGTAAGCATTCACAACGCGTTGTTTGCTTTTAATACTGACTCCATATAACGCCACTTACAAGGTGGGGCAAAGGTAACCCCGAGTTTGGGGAGCAATTAAAAAAAACTGCAGAACGTCTGTTTTTTTTATTCCATTCGGTACATCCATTGACTTACAAAGTCAATGGGTACATCATATTGTTTTTTTCCTCACGTTTTGAATACTATCTCAGCAAGATGGCGGCCTTCAGCAGCAATACACTGATGTAGACGGTTTGTAAAGTTATTGGCCACTTTTCGGCTCATCTCCAGTGGTATAGTGTTCACCTCCTCGATATTTCGGGCCTTCAGACCTTCGACAGTGTGGAGTGATGTTTAAAATCTTTATCTTTCAGGTAACCCAACAGGAAAAAATCGGGATTAGCCACTAACGAGCCATATAGAAAAATTAACACTACTACGGGATTAAATAAAACGGGAAGCGCG